CGAAACCATCCGGCCGGGCACTACTGGATTGTGTACCAAAATGTACAATCAGGAAATAAAGCCATGTACATTTCGGAAGAGCCGTTTAAAACCAACCGGAATCAAACCATCCCAGCACTACCGCTTACAATACCCCATACGGCATCCTGACCTAAGGCATTCCGGCACTGCAGACTGGATCCGGACCATCCGGCACCGAACAATCCCAAACCTACCGGCTAAGGTTTGGCACCAATACACCAAGACACTGAGTAAGGTAACGATTTTCCCCTTCAATCTTTGCTTGGAGAACTTTGGTACCTATCAAAACTTTCCAGTGCCAACAAGTGACCAGTGGTGTTAAACACATCACACGGACACATATTCTTTGTAAGAGGCGACGGGATCTAGAGCCGCATTTGGATGCAGGAGAAAAGCCTTTACTTGGAGAGTAGATTCACTTCAGGTCTTTGGTTTTCAGAACATCACACGGACACATCCTCTTTGTAAGAGGAAAGATGCAGAGGCGACGAGATCTATAGAAACATCTAAGGCCACTTTTGGATGCAGGAGAAAAGACTTCCCATTTCAGCCTTTTCTTGGAGAGTAACTTCACTCCAGGACTTTGGTACAGATTACAAGTTTTCAGACCCAAGAAGTGACCATTATTGTTCGGACACATCTTCTTTGTAAGAGGAAAGATGCAGAGGCGACGAGATCTGGAGAAACCCCTGATGAGATCTCTGAGCCACATTTGAATGCAGGAGAAAAGCCGGAGTACATTTATTCTCCAGACGCTGCAACATGTGGCGCCGGCAGATAACCCTGATGACTGGAACTGCGGATAAAGTGGGACAGGAGGGAAAGACGCGCGTGGGGAAATGAAGGAGGCTTCGGTCCTAATTCCCCTCGCAGGAAGTCATATCGTGTTACGAGTTTCACTATATTTTACCGTCGTCGTGTGGGCCCATTACTCTTGGCTAGTACATTTTGTACCTGCATGCATGCATGCCGATTTGAGTCCAAAGTACAGGATGCCTGGGGTACTAATATAGCATTGGTAAACCTACATAGCATTGGTGAAAGTAGTCCTTGCTACCATAACATTAAATGTTTGCCACATTTTTCTTCCGTGCCTGCGTACATACATACATTCATCCCGCATATTCCATGTCGATTTAAATCTAAAATACAGGATGCCTGAGGTAACGATATAGCAACTAAACTACTCCGGTTTACATGTAGCAACTCAATGAAAGTAGCGTTGCTACCATATAACATCAAAATGTTGCCACATTTCTCTCCGTGGATGAACGAAGAAAAATGACACAGGATACACCTTTTGCTATTTTTGTGCCGCAATGTGTGTGTGGGTGTGATGGGAGTCAGCCGTTCTATCACCATTCCGCACACCTAACTGCGCTCACGATTCCCTTACACGCAAACACTCACGCCCTCAATCACTCACTCACTCGAGCTCACTTCAAGCCCGCTTCTCCATGTATCCCAACCTTTCATCACAGAAGCACATACAAAGAAATTCTGCCGAACCTGAGTTACAGAGCGTCCAACATAATGTTTTGTGACACGACAGACGGAGATATCTTGGGTGTTTTCGTCACCAGTGTCACACTAAGCTATACGAATAGGGTCTTTCCGTTGGCAAATCCCCTCAGACAATAAGAAGTTCTGCAGAAACGATATAGGACATATCCGGCAGCTAGAGAGATGATGAGACCGATATTAGATCGGCTCCAGCGCCATTCTACGTCCGTATCGGCGATAAATATAAATACAGCCTGCACGCGCGAATGGCGACAGGTAATCCAGCGCTGACCCCACATAAATAGAGAGCTCCGCTTCCCCGTGATGAGTCTGTATCTATGTTAAAAGGAACACGCGCGATATAAAACAAAAGCACCGAGGCGGAACACCTGGGCTAGCTGCACAGGAGAAGCGTATTTCCGGAGCAGCCATTAGACTAACGGAATCATCAATCCGCGAAGAGCGAAATGCGAGCGGGCGATCCTCTAGCGGTAAGACCGTGTTTGATCACGGGTACAGACGAGCATTACCGTAATTTTCTTGCTACAAGGACACCGGATCTGTGCAGTGAGCCAATTCAATCTTTAAACGGAGCGGCGAACTCGTAAATAATTGCAGGATCCCCCTTTGTCTTTGACATTGTAGGTAAGCGGTAGGAACATGGTGTGGTGCACCGGTGGTGGGCGGAGGTGGGTGTGTGATGACGCACGTAACTGATGAAGAGCAAATATTTATCATTCAAGGAAGCTACGTTTGTCATGTAGTCATTTACTGTCAGCAGCAACAGTGCGTCACGGGAGATAACACCGTTAAATGTGCAAAGTCTGAGTGTAACAAGTCGCTCGGTGTTATATATCTAGCTGCCGCCGCGCCGGGTACCTGCGAAGCTGTTGTGTTACGCCGAAGGGCGGTTATACCGGCTATACAGATACAGAAGCTGGTGTGTTACGCCGAAGGGCGGTTATACCGGCTATACAGATACAGAAGCTGGTGTGTTACGCCGAAGGGCAGTTATACCGGCTATACAGATACAGAAGCTGGTATGTTACGACGAAGTTAAGGGCGGTTATACCGGCTATACTGATACAGATACAGAACACCACGGAAGTAAATACAAGGCAGCAGGTGCAAGTAAGTAGGAAGAGGGGGATTAGGTCAGCATCACGGAACCACCTGCGGCGAAAATCAGGTAAGCTGTATGCAAAGTTTTACCGACTTACTTAAGTTAGCATATTCAGCTTAATGCCGGCTTGATCTATGGCCCAGAAGCAGCTGCACGCTCCGACACACGCGTGTCTATTTATAGCCACAGGTCCATCTCTGTCCCTCACGCGAAGACGACGCGTCACTCACGAGTTGACTCATCCTTCATGTTTAGACAATGTAGGTCAATTAGAATCCAATGTCCTCCATTAATTGATTATTTTTGCGCTTGGTGTAGAATATGGAGCAGGAGTCGCGGTATCTGAGACCATTACTGCCATGTAAGATGATCCGTTTTGAAACGTTGCCGTTGTAAAATTTGATCTCGATTTAGTTTACTCCTAATTCGGGATCAAAGTACTACATGTAAGAGCTTAATAGAATGTCAGGGTTTGTTGCTTTTAAATCGGCTACATATTGCATGTATTCCGAGAAACCAAACGACCTCTACCAACGGTTGTTGAATCGGAGAACATTAATGCCATGTTAGAAGATAATCCGTTTTGAAACGTTGCCGTTGTAATTTTTGTTCTCGATGTAGTTTTCTCCTGATTTGGGATCAAAGAACTTCATCTAAGAGCTATACCACGATTTGTTACTTGTAAGTCTTCTACTTTAACTTAACATAACATATAGCATTCTTTCTGGGAAACCAAACGACCTCTACCTTCTAGCGACGGCGGCTGTTGAATTGCAGAACGTGCATTTGTAGCGGCGTTCGTGTGTAAAGTACACATTAGTCAAGATTGAACGAAGTAAACCCAGACTTCAATTAGCGGTGTCGCATCTTAAGGTCTGTCCGACAATTCATCTGGAAGGATGCAATTACACCAACACGTCATGCTTACGTCAACGCAGAGATTTGAATTCCCGGCACCTCTGTTTGCCTCAGCATAAAACACGCAGTTGCTTGATCATGAAACATGCGGGTGCTCCGTGGCAGTGACTGCCCGTAGCCAGGGGGGGTTCGGAAGAACCCCCTCACAAGGCTCAAAGGTCCACTTTTTGGTCCACTTTTTATGTAAAGGTCCACTTTTTGGTCCACATTTTATGTAAAGGTCCACTTTTTGGTCCACATTTTATGTAAAGGTCCAAGATTTTTATTGAAAAGATGGACTGGAATCGTAGAAAAACTGCTCCCTTTGTCATTGAATAAAAATTTATCTGTTTTTTCTTGGAAATCCTCTCAAAAATGCACGAAATGCCATTTTAGAAGGTTCATTTTTCAAAATTTTCCGGGGCAAAATCCTGGCTACGGGCATGCAGTCCCTTATAATTTATTTTCATCCGTTGCCATTTCATACACTTCATTACCGCAAACAAATGTGTCTAAAACTCAAGTATATTTTGCATTGTGTCCCACCTTTTCATTGCGTTCGTCATTGAGTGAGAAATTGGTCATTTGCTTCCAACATCTTTGTTCTTTACTACGTTGTGTTACATATGTCTATTGTCAGCTGTTTCCTCTAATTTCATCTAATTTCCTCTATATTGGATTCATTTTTGTTAATTTATCCTCTCATTATGTTTAAGTGGTAACGTTAAAAGAAGTCTTAGCTACTTGAGTGAGTTACCACTTTGTGTTGTACCGTCTTCCTTAATGTGTGAAAAACAAAGAAAAAACACACCAGTGACAGTGTGGAGGCACGCAGCACGAATAGGGCCGAGTTTCCTAACACCAACATCCGTCTACATCGCGCCCGCTTAGAAGCAGCGATACATTATACAGCAGGCCATGAGGCTGTGCTAATGGGAAGAATTAATAGAGCCCTGCGGCGCTGTGTGAGGGTGGAAAGTAAAATGGGTGTAAGTTAGGGTCAGCTGAGGTGAAGTGAGGGAGCTGGATTAGATGGATAATGTTAGGTAAAGTAGTTTCTGAAGCAAAGTAGAGGAGGTTGCCGAACACAGGGTAACGCAGTTTACGATATTGACCAGTCAGCGTTAAGGATCTCATTTTGCCCTGGTTTAGGCTGAATTGCCCTGATCTGAAGGAGTAAGTAAGTACGTAAGTCAGTAAGTAAGTAAGTAAGTATACATCAGGGCCCATCACCCTTCACTGAACCGCGAAGGGGACCAACATCGTCTACCAGATACCTTTGACCCAGTGTTGACGTTACACTTCAAAGAAGCCACGTGACAAGCCTCACTGGGTCAGTCTACTGAGGAAGACCAGAGTGACTGGTCGAAAGCTCTAGGTGAGAGAACTTTTTGTGTTGGATGTAAAGTTTTAACTCTAAATAAGTAAGCATGAACATAACATCAACATACGTTACCTTTGGGGCGTAGATATTGAGGAAGAGGCAGTCCTCATCAGGCGCTGTCCCCACCTGTCGGTAGGCGGCGATGGCCGGTGCGGGGGGCTGCGGACAGGGCGGGCCGGCGGACTGAGCGTTCCGCACACCGGACCAGCGGATAGGTCTCTCCGGGCGCTACAGGGGGAAACAAGGCATTAATATGTAGGAAGGAATGAAAGTTTACTACGTTACATACTAAGTTACATGCATGTTATATGATATAGCTGCAGCTACCCAGTCACCACCAGCACAGAGTTTCATATGCCCATCTTGCTATAGGACTTGCAGGTCAAGGATTGGGCTGCACAGCCACATGAGGACCTGCACAGGGCAACCTTCCTAGAATCATCGGGCACGAAGTACCAGCCATCATCACATATGATAATGTACAGAATATTAATGTAACTTAGTTAGCTTCTTCTGCCTCTGACTATATGGTACCGTACTTTTTGCTATGGAAGGTAATGATGAAAAGGTGAAGAAAATAATACGATTGAAACTTATCGTTTGTTCTACGAGGAGGAGGACACACTCATCAAACATATAGTTTTCGACCCAATGACGTAGCGGCGTTGCGCACATGCAATCGTTCGTTTCAATGGACTATTATAGAGGGCCCTGGGTCGTCCCATCACTCATAACCTTCAAGCAGTTCCTCTAGCTCTGGCGGCAATCTCACTAAATCTACCGACAGTTCTTACCCTATCCCAAACCTTCTGATCTGGTCCGAACATTACCGCTATACATAGGCAGATAGACCTCGGTAGTTCTGCCGTCGTTTCTCACCTACAGTAACTGCTGTCTTCTGAGTAGTTTCAGACTTACTAAGGAAGTCCCGTACCCACCAAAGATCGGCGAACGTGTGAAAGATGCATGAGGATAGGATGTTGACTAATCTTCAATATACGTGTCAATAGACCCTACAAAGTGAAGACTGCCGTTTTATTACTTACAGTGTTCATCAGTTCCGATAGACCCTAACGCGTAGGCATGTTATATCGCCTAATCTCTAAGCAGAGCCCTTTCGGTGGCAAAACGACAGTATCAAATTGGCCAGGCAGTATCCATTAGCCAGAGAAGGTCGCCAGCCACCGACGGGGGTAGCGACCAAAAAACGGCCATATATAAAAAGGTAACGATCATTCCTTCACAACCTCTGCTTGGAGAGTATATCGCCGAACACATAACGGAATTACGAGTCAAGACGATCACGGCTGTGCAGAAAAGATACGCCAGGAAACGCGAACGGCCGCCTCAGATTGCCACCGACAGGGGAGCTATCAATACTTGTGCGCGCCTATCTCCGCTCAATTCCGTAATAGTACTTTGTGATGATATTGGTTTCAGGAGGCCTGCTACAAGCGTTGCCTGGCAACGTGGGATAAAGTGTGGCACTGAGTGATGGGATGACGGAGGAAAGATCGGGACATCTCGATGATGTATGGTCGGATGTCCAGTACCTCCGCGCGCCAATGGGAGCTCAAACACTTTTGTACAACCTGCCGTGAATGCTGAGATACATCCGGAGTGCGCGGATGTTCTGAGCACAGGGCCATTTTGAGTCCCTGTCACACATTCAGAACCTTTCCCTGAACAAGTTCTGGAGCAGTTTTGACCAGATTTAGGCTACGCCTACCTTTCTATACAGAGGTCGAATCTAAGTTAATTTCTACTACCTGCACCCGAACCGTGACCTGCCAACCACCTCCCTATCTCTAGTCCACGCCCGAATGTTTTAAGCATTTTGAAACATTCGGCTGATGTACTGTCGAACAGTAGCCTATCTTGTTCCGACCGACTCCCAACCATGTTGGGGGGGGGGGTGTCCGCTAGTGTTCTGGAGGCCATATTCGTGAATGTGTGACAATGGCTTTACATGGTGGACTGGGCGACACGGACGACAAACCGTTAGCGGGAGTCCCAGTGGGAGAGACCACACCAAGGTCTCAACGAGATACCAACAAAACCGTGACTGGATTCATGACAGCATATAGTGTCAGTGACTGAAGGAATACTGGACGACCTTTGCCATGACCTCATCATCTTCAAATCACTAAGATAGATATAAAGTTGACGTAAATGTATAACCTTGTACCATATCACAAATCGGCTGGTATGATATGCGCAAAGAATATCAATGGAAGGGATCGTTTCTTTAAGAATATCGCAGGCATCGTGACAGATATCAATAAAGCTGACATTTTCGTCGTAGATATTGCTGAAATCGATATTGGAGCAATAAAATGTCGATGTTCAGATTATTTTTACAACAGGATGAGAAGTAAAACTAACCATCAGGAGTAATCAGGACATCATCATCATCATCATAAATAATCATCAGTACTGATTTTATTTCTGCATTGATCCGAGCCATTTCCTGCATTTAGGAAGTTGATTGGTATTGGAAGTACGTAAGCCTACAAAGTAATTTGGTAAATGAACTAACTAGATATTTATGCGTACCCATTATATTTTATGTCATTCCGGTTGTGTTGTGTAATTAGACTATGGCAGCGTACAGTGCATGTGTAAGTACGTTGGGGCTGCATTTTAAGTGTGATATTCACATCCATGCAATTCAGTGTGTCATAAGTTCATAGCTCCAGGAGAAACTATTTATTCCAGATTCTGCAGTTTTAGGGCTGGATTAGATATGACATTTTAACGATTATCCGGGGGAGAAAGATGGAGAGAGAGAGAGAGAGAGGAGAGAGAGAAAAAGAGAGAGAGAGAGAGAGAGAGAAAGAGAGAGAGAGAGAAATGTATCTACATTAAGAACATTACCCGAGGAATTATATCAAAGGCCATTGATAGGGAAAAAAAAGTGGGGTCAAATCATGTTGAGCAACATACATTCTCGTCACAGAACACCATGATTCAGTTTTACCGTCCCAAATCTCATGTCTGGCACCAGCCACGATCAGATTTATCGCCGTTTCAATCCTGATTTCTGGGAAATTGAACTTGATTCCATTTGAGGGAAGCTGACTATCAGCGGGAGGCTGTATTTGATGCATTACGTTTGTCTCTGCAACGTGACAGGCTTAGCTTTCCTTTCATTTTGACTGAGGATACATCGTCTGGTTAACTCCACCCCGAGGCAGGGAAACGTAAGGTGATTAATTTTCTCATTTCCGTGCCGAGGGAACTACAAATAACCCCGACTCCAGAACAAACGTCCTCTCTGCGGGATCACAGGCAGCCTAACCTTTTGTATATTCGTACAAATTCCATTACACATAATCCGATACGGAAAGGACGACGGATTTGGCCATGGGTAGATGGATAATTTGTGTTTGCCTTGGACATGTCAGGCTTCATCATTCGTTATTCAAATGTATAAAGGTGGTTAAGAAAATTATTCGCATTCGTTATTTTTTCAAATATGTATAGAAAGGTGGTTACTAAAATTCATCAATTTAAGAATTTAACAACTGTTTCATCAAGCGGCGTACTGTATCACAAGGCATAATTTAGCCTAGGGATGTCAGACCAGTCTCCTGTTTTGAACAATAAACCATTGATTTATTGATAGTGGTTATGTTTAGAAAATGACATAAAGAAAAATCGCACTGTAAAAAACTGTACTTACATGTAACTGCAAACACCATTAAACATATATATTTTCTTAGAGCCATGGAAGTTGCAGTAGCGGCTAGTTTCCTGCACTTGACGTAAGTATTGTGAAATATTGTACTTAACCACACCATGAAACATATAATTATATTGTTGGAGTCATGGAGATATTGCAGTAGCTGCTACTTTCCAGCACATGACATAAGCAGGCACTGTATAAAACAAACGATCACCATATATATTTCCTTGACTGAAACGACCACGAATCTGATTTGAGAATTTGACCTTCAGCTTCTCCATGCCGGTGACAAATCGACTGTGTTCGATCGAATGAATTTTGAACTTGGCTGTCATGACCTTCGGTGTAAGGTCGTAGTGACTGAACAGGTAGACAGGAGTGATGGCATCACACGCCACTTTATGCATCCAGCCATTGAATTCCTATGTACTGACGCCAACCTTAAGTTTACAACAATGCATATCGATGGTATGCAGGCAGACTATATAGTACGTTCAATGTCATAAAGGCCATTAGCAGCGCAGCAAGCCCCAAAAGTGTCTCTGAAGTGGATTTCGGAAATGTTGCGATCAGACGCCTTGGCACCACTTTAAGTAATCTTGTCGTCGCCCGCACGTCAGCGATGGAAGACTCCATCCCCGGTGACCCAACCCCCGCCCCAACCTCAAACACTCTCCCTGCTGCTGAGCACTTGGCGGCGACCTCCATCGATACACCGCCAGATCGAATCCCGCAGGAATCAATGCGGGAGATGTTAACCTACAGGTAACCTTAGGAAAGCCATTCAGCACTAAATATAGATAGTCACCTGGTAAAGGCCCATGACTCGGCAGTATGAGTCCTAATGGAAAAACTCTCAATACCGCATAAATTTTGGGATATTATCGTAATGCTAGATAGCGGCTCTGGTGGTACGTTCCAGACAACTTGAAGCTGTGCGCGGCAGAATGACGAACGGGTAGGTACGCATTTGAAATGGAGATGTGGGCCTAGAGGTGCTTGTCGTGATTAAGCGGCAATGGCGAGCTATCCTGTTGATGTTGGTCGATCATGAGATCTCCCTCTTTGAGAGCAGTATTGTATTCATCACAGAGAACAAATTGCCAAAACAAATTTGGCCGTGATCAAAGGAAACCACGGGGTGGAGCAACATGAAAGGAAGTCTGATGTCGCTTTACTTCGTTGGAGGCATAACCTCCGTACAAGGACGCCTTGTCATTAGTGGTGCATTGGTATGCGGGGGTCCTTTGAAGATACAAGCAGGAGGTTCTCAGTGGGATTTGATGCTAATGTATTCCCTTGCATACCGACTCGTGCACCACAACACGGCACGATAATGTGAGATGGATCTGCATATTCAGCGGACTGACAGCCTTGGGTGCGGCGAAGAAGTGGTCAATGAGTACTAGTGATGTGGCTATCTTTTTGTCTATTCTTCATTACACAAAACTACATACCAAAACGCCCATCTTCAATTCATCCAAATCGAACATGACTAGACTAGCCTGTTGGTATGGCTAGATATACGTAAGACGTTACACAAGACAAGACATGACTAGACTTGTACTGGCAACTAGATTTTGACATCAATGTATGTTGAATAGGTATCACTGTTGTCAACGTGTCTGTCTTTTTGTCTATTCGTCATCACATAACACTACAAAATTACCAAATGTCCATCTTCATCCACGTCAAACATGGCTAGACTGTAGCCTGTAGGTATTGCTAGGTAAGACAAGACTAGACATGACTAGACTTGTACTGGCAACTAGGTTTGTGCTGAATTCAATGCATTTTGTCCATATTCCTCATCACATAACACTACCAAAACTTCCATCTTCATCCACATCGACCATGGCGAGACTGAAGACTGTAGGTATATTGCTAAGTAAGACAAGACATGACTACACTAAGGCTTGTACTGGCAACTATAGGTTTGTACTGAAAGCAATGCATTTTGTCCATATTCCTCATCACATAACACAACCAAAACTTCCATCCTCATCCGGCAACTTCAGACATGACTAAACTGTAGCCTGTAGGTACTGATATAGCTAAGACAAGACATGACTAGTCTTGTACTGGCAACTGGTAACTTGTACTGACATCAATGTGTTGACAGCCACTAGGAAAGAGTATGGTAAGTCGGCATTGCCAGTAGACATCAATGTATGTTGAACACGATTCAATATTCGGGTGTATTGAAAATGTGAACGGACGGAAGGGGATTACGGCAGGAGAAAAAGAAACAACTCTGGAAAGTGCGTTTCAAAGCCGACATCTTGGAAGTCACGCTCCACTAGCACGAATAAGCCGATATGTAGAGGCAGCGCTAGCGGGAATCCGGTCAAAGAGTTAAAATGAAATCCTGGTAACGGTTTTTGTTCCATGCTGTTGTGTTGTATCACAAAATACTGCATAAAGAGACTACTGGGTCTGCACAGCAAGAGGTGAGTCTTTAGAAGTGAAATGTCATAGGAAGCCGATATACAAAGGACTAGGCTTAGTAGAGAAACCTGTCTAAGCTGCCATTTGAAGCCCCAATGACGTCAATACAGCATCGTTACATCGCCGCGTTTATAGAATTTATGACCTGCTCTTTGCAATCGTGTGCTCCGGCTTAGGAGGTGGGGTTTCAACTTGCAACATTAGTCGAGTGAAAGCCTATCATGCGTCGGTTCAAAAGCATCTCCTTTGAAACATGCTCAGGCTGGTACAGATTTGATCTGAGAGTACTAAAAAGATGAACAGATACACATGAGATGTGCATTTGTAAAGGTGAGTACAATTCATATGCATGTTGCACACGACTGAGCAAAGCCCGTACATCCAGGTAATAAGATACGAAACAAACTGTTACTCAAGCAACTGGATATGATTTCGAAAACGGTCAGACGTTTCAGGTAGCATCCACTAGCTTTCGTCAGGGACTCCAGAGAACTTGTGCAGAAAGGCAGGTTTATAGACAAGAACTATTGTTTGATAAATCAGTTAAGACAATTTTTTGGAAGCCCAAAACGAAACAAAAGTTAGACATGGGTCGAAGCAAACCTGTACTGGGTTGATCACCCGTCCTACATATACGGTTATCTGAGAGGTTCAGGCGCTAAATTATTAACGAACTGAAGTGGCAGGTGAATCGATCACGAGGTGAGGTCGTGGAAGATGTGATCATTTTGTGGTTTTGTATTCGGATCAATACAAGAACGAACATTTGTCTAATGCGAGACACACCGGCAGAATTCGGGCCTAATCTGATAATGTTGTTCTGTATGTGGTTCAGATCAACAGGCTTGTGGAACATAACAAATGACAGCATTGTCACACTGGCAATCAATATGGCAAAAGCATCGACAGACGTTCGTGCATGTTGCTATATTATATCTATATTACAAAATTGGTGGTGACAAACGACTACATGAATATTCATACAATTAGCAATATATATATATATATATGCATAATATAAATACAAAAAGGGTTTGCTCTTTATCTAGATAAAACGTTAACAAAAACAACATCCAGTCTGACTAAAAACGACTGATAAAGTTGATTTGGCAGGCTTCCCCGGCCTCAGTGAATATCAACAGGTTGTTTGGCAGACTGTCCATTGCCACCAACAGTCAGGGCGTAATAAAGAGGGGCTGACCTCTGAGTGGATTAGAAGGAAAGCACGGAGGACTCCCATGCATGCAAACTATTGTCGTACACAGGTCATCGACCTAGCGGCATGCGACAGCCACTCCAGACCTACTCTCTCGAAGCAAATGTTTATTTTTGGCGTCTTTTTGGCGGGTTTTTATCGGGTTTCCTATTTTGTACTGGTATCGTTTGTTTTTTGACTGGCGTATTGGATACTGGCCTTCCAATGATACCGTCTTGCCAACTTGATACTGTCTTGCCAATTTGATACTGTCTTGCCAATTTGATACTGTCATGCCAAACTGATACTGTCATGCCAAACTGATACTGTCTTGCCAGTATGATACCGCGTTGCCAATTCGATACTGTCTTGCAGCCACCAAAGATCTGGTTGGAGATTAGTCCAGACCCTCGTCCTCTCCCATCTGCGACAATCTACCACATGTATGTGCTACCATGGTCTCCCGAGACCGAGAGAACCCCGCGATATGCGGGTACCTAAGCCTCAGCCACGCCGCTCCACATTATCTGCAGGTGGCTATCTGTCGCAGCTAATTCCACCCCTTTGTGCAGTAATGTATTGTGGGATAAAGAAATCAATGGACGATACTGTGACGACATTACCAGTCTTTCTACTAGGGATAACTTCAAAACTTCGTGCACCTTTTGCAAACGAATACAAACTTGTACTCAATGCCCTGTCACTACCGATGTCCCTACGGACGTTACTACTAAAGCAGGTGTCACCAAAATAGTATATGTGGCTAACATCGTGGGTGATCTTCACAGGAATTTGGCAAAAAGTAGTCAAAACATTTTTTATCTATCCAGTTTTTGAGACTGTCCCTTCTGCAGGTATGAGACTGTCCCTTTTCTTCTGTCCAATATAAAAACCCTTAAGTGCCTCAGGGCTGTTTGTTCGCGCGCGGATATCACACAATGAAGACAGTTATCAATTATTTCGATTGTTGATTCCACCGATCGATCACGTGTGTCCCAGTAGATCCATGTCCATGTTCCTATCGTTTTTTATCACCAGTGTGAGTGAGGCAGCCGCCGCATGCTAACATTGACCGACATATAGTCCCTGTAGCTGTAGCTGTACAGAAGTCCTGAGCTACTCAGCATTGGTTCGGAATCTTCGGAACTGATTGCACTTCGTATTCCACTTGTTGCTGGCCTTATTACACTGTAATGATGAAACGCGACGGCCACTTTAATTCCGTTTCGGAATTTCAGCGTTTCTAAAATAGTTTTGACCGCATCCTTGGGGTCAGGGAATGACGGATGACTTGAGGGAAACGGGGGAAGGGTGGTGGGGCACAAGTTCTTGCGAAATGACGCAGAATTCTGCACAGTGCCAAGCTGGTAATCTACGACATACACTTGAACATGGACTTCCCTTCCGAATGATGGACGACAAGACGACTTCAAGTCGAGCGACGTTTCTTTAAGACTGATGTCGCCGCTGCAGTAATGACATTTAATTGTGCCTCACGCTTCACGGTGGGTTTGACTGTCCCAAATTTAGGCTCCGTTCTGGCGAAGACGGTGAAAGGCAACCGGCAGCCTCCCGCGGCGTTTTCTCGTGGGTTACAGAAGCATGATACCACACAGACGGGACCCTCCGTAGTCTGATGTGAGCCCAACAGCCGCTTGTGCCATTATCTGCCTGCACCAGCTCACCGCAGGGCCAATTTACGGGCCCCGCAAAACACCACCCATTGTTCACCCGGCCGCCAGGCAACATCAAATGTATTGTTTCCATTAGTAGAGGGATGCAGGTGCATTTACTGTTACACAGTACAGCTTGAAGGACTGTACGTCAAATACCTCTGGATGTACGCGACACAGACGAGTCTACTGTAGCACGTACGGAGAGGCTGATGTGACGAGAGGGAACTTCAAGGAAGGATTTTTTTAAATTTCTAAACCGTGTTTCCAGCCGACATCTCAATACAGTCCCCTCTCAGTGAACCCAATACAATCACCAGAAATGTACGTGTGAAGTAGGTGTGTTGGAGGAATGGCAGGGCGTTACGCACACAGCAGATAAAATTGAAAACAAAAATCAACTCCACATTCCAATCATTTCCAGCATGACCCGCGTCAAGGGTAAAACAATGCATCACAATTACAGCTATCACCCACCCCAATTTATGCCACACACACACGCACGACGGTACGACTTAAGCATGGATTTCTGTCTGCTGCAGCCATTGTTTCAGCATGCACTTGTCATGCAGCACTTCGCTATCTAACCGACCATGTGTGAGGCACCGTGCATGTCGCGATATCAGATTCCGCACCCAGCTTCGGGCGGGTGAACCCGAACAATGGGGCGCAGCAGGTGTGAAAGTGGCTGCGGAGGAACGTAACGGAGGTGTGTGTGTGTTAAGGGACGATATCTACAGGCAGAAAAAGACGGTTAAGGGCTAGGGACGATATATACGGGCATAAAAAGACGGTTGACTTACGCTGAACCGCCTGGTCCCTGCGGGATTGCGCGCGTAGGGCACGCCGAGGAACACCTCCACCTGTTTGACGCCGGTAGTCACCGTGGTCACGTCCCGTAATTTCCCGCGCACTTTGCCGTAGGCGGTCTCCCTGACGACGTCCGATCCCCGCGCCAGCGCGACCAGCACCGCCAGGACAACGACACACCGCGGCGGGAGCCACAGCTTCTCCATGCCGACTGTGGGCGGTACGGACGGACCGCTCCTCGCTCTCCTCGCACTCTCTCTCTCAGAACTCCGAGCGCTGACTACATAATCCCCAGCAGACAGGAGGAACACACGCACGCACTACGAACAAACCACGCAGCTCGCCTGGTGTTGCTCCTCTTCTCATTCCTGCCACCGCCGCGTCATGAGATGTAGAAGCACGCGGCACGAGCGCCTGTAGCTCAGCAGCACGCTGTATGTGGGACGTGCCGGTGGGATGAGAGGTGCCGGGCTAGCGCTGCTGTGGACGTACGGCTGCTGCTGCAGCTGCGGAGGCTCCCAGTCCGGAGTGCATGCACGGTGCGCGTCATGAATAATGGATGCGGGATAAGTGGGACTGGGCGGGAGGATCCGGGGAGGGATCCGCCTGATGAGAAGTGACAGGCGGGCGGGCGGGAGAGACCGTGCCAGCCGCTAGGAGCGCGCCGGAGAACGCACAGGGCGGGATGAACCAGCTACAGGTGGGGACTAGAGTTCCACGATTTCACATCTTCCACATTTCCAGAAGACATTTCCTCTGTTCCTTGCAACAATTCCTCTCTGTCTCTGTCAATTTCCAAGCTATTGCACAACGCTGTGCGGTACAGTCAATACATGATGGTGATGATTGATCACCAAAAAATCCTTGCATCTTAATGTGAAAGAGACATGCTGGAATCGAAACTCCAAAGATGTGCAAAGTTACAGTATTGATCCAGTACAAGATTATGGGTCGATAATGAAAACTTTGAGGACGTTGAGGATACAGTGACAGGGATGAACTTCTGTGAGACTTTCACGATCAGATAATGATGATGAAGGATACAAGGGTATCTGAATCATGCAAAGAAAATGTAGTTTACTGTAGGAACTATACAGTGGCTCTTATATCATTGCATGCATCACCATTATGACTATCTTACGCAATTAGCTGTCGGGCATGTATTTGCAATAAAACATCTATATCGAATCAACATATTTCAGAAACCTTGGCGTGAATCCACTTATCATTCGTCATCTTGCCATTTGCTGTGGGCCTAGCTCTATGCACAAAATTTCTCCTCCTCATACATGATGTAGATTCCTATACAACACAGAAAGTTGTTGGCCCAAAACATCCCCTTACCAATTGTCTAAATCTTGACAAAATTCAGTCGGTGCAGTCATTCGCGTGTAGCTAATATCCATCCATATTTCCTGCGTGTGGTTTCTTATCCAGTACCCTTTGCCCTATATACACACTGAAACTGACTAATGATGATGTATACCACTCGTCATTCCAGGCGAATCATTCGGCCCTGTACATGAGCTCTTTCGAAATGCCAAATCCTCACCCCTTCCCACCTCAATCCACTGTAACCCTCCTATATCCTCTCCACCTAATACGCTTTTATCAGGGAGCTATTTAACGTGATTAAGCTGTTGGCAGCCCTGCCCTCTCGACCTTATACATAACATATCGCTATCTCTTTGATCTTTTCCAGAACTGATTGGGCCTTTTTGTACTCTGATCGAACAATTCATATTAAACGCCCCGCTGGGACAATTTGCTGCTTGAGGGGCATTATTATCATTGGCACTGTTATTACCGAGATAAAGTGTCCGATGTTTGCATATTCCGCACAGTACCCGTATCGCGCTGAACATCTCGCCACAGCCAGGAGGTATGTGCATAAATTACGGTCCCTGAACATGGTGACGGTAAAAAAGAAGGAAACAATGAAGTGAGAAATCCTACCTTTTACTTCATCTACAGAACATATAGTTTAGATAGCATCAAAGTGTGATATCGATTGTAAATCTGTCAGCTGGTTTAATTAGATATTGTAATCTATGTAACGTTACCTGATGTCCTCGTATGTATAATTGTTGACTTACGAATATCGGGCCAGCTGCCTGTAAGTCAGTGCAATGTACTGTTGCATTTGAACTAAATGCATGTAAAATGAATCATACCTTATTAATACACTGAGTGTAAACAAGACCACAACGGATGTACACAGATTGATCATTGATACTGCTCTTAATTATTCATACCCACCAACTGATCATCAACACGATATGTTTGTATACATTTAACAAGGAAATACCGACAGGGCTGCTCTTTTATTTACAGTAAGAGTCGCCGCATTTCAAACCGCCGCTATGGAGATGTAAAAAAGCAGCATCTGGCAGCTTAACGACACAACAGAGTTTAACGACGACGCTGCTGCAAGAACCTGTGTGAGCCTTGGTGAGCGCAAGGAGCTTTAAATTTGATTTTTAACCTCCTTGCCTTGGTGAGCGCAATCAAAAAGTAATCTTGCTAAAAGTTGACAGAAATCCCTCTGAGCACAGCACCAAGTGAGAGCAACAACAAGGCACGGTTTTCTTAATGACAATAAGGCATACTTAAGGCAAAGATCTACCTGTAATTAGATGAACTAGTATTCCAGATTCAGTTATGCCCTTTACTGTCTAAATTTTGATCAATACGTACTTAAAATTTGTGCCGCATGAAATATTGGTTCTTACCCTTGAAGTTGAGTTTTGATCATCAATCAAGCATCAGGTGTCCTCCTAGCCACGTCATATGGCTATTGTGTTGGAGCTTCGGGTATTGTAAAGTAAAGGGGTGCTCTTTCTTCTGTACAATATGCACATTCATTATTCATCATATTATCATGGTAGATATTCTAACAAAGTGTCCTCCAGTGTCCAGCCTTTCATGTTGTTGCATTGCTTCCTCTGCTCTTTGACGGACGTTGGATACAATGTACAATTGTACAAATTGGTGTGTTTTTGTAGCTGGGAGGGTCTGAAAAATGAAATTGGGATATCACTTACTTCATTTACTCCCTAAAGTGGCCCTTCATTCATTCATTATTGACTAATCCACCCATTCATCATTCAGTAGGTCAGGCGTCTACTCACTAATCTCTAAGCAGATCGCTTTGGTAGCTGCAAAGACAGTACCAAATTGGCCAAGCTGTACCCATTTGCCAGGCAGTTACCAGTTGCCACTCATTCGGCTAATGTAAGAAAATGTACAATCAGTACAAACAAATTGAGCTGAATAAAATATCTTAAAACACGTCACAAATGAGTTGAAGCCCAAACCCTTGCTGCAGAATTCTGGCTTCAGTTCCCAGAATTCTGCATATTCTGGTTTTTGTTCCCAGAATTCTGCATATTCTGGCTTTACTTCCCAGAATTCTGCATATTCTGGCTTTAGTTCCTAGAATTCTGCATATTCTGGCTTTAGTTCCCAGAATTCTGCACATTCTGGCTTTAGTTCCTAGAATTCTGCATATTCTGGCTTTAGTTCCCAGAATTCTGCATATTCTGGCTTTAGTTTCCAGAATTCTGCATATTCTGGCTTTAGTTTCCAGAATTCTGCATATTCTGGCTCCAGTTCCCAGAATTCTGCAGAATTGGGTTAATCCCCTTGCAAAGGGTCCTTGATTGCTGCCACGTATTTCTTACATCATTTTTACCTATAGTTTACGATATTAGCCCATCTAGATGTAAGGTTGCTGAGATCATGGGAATTGGTCCGGAATTAAACTGGAAGTCCAGTATTAAACTGGAGGCTGTTCATCTGTGTTGGTAGTAATCATAGTAAAACGTTAAACTTTATTCCAACGCACTATTTACAGGGATCAAATTTTCAGCGACCACTGTCGCCTTCATCAGGATGATTAATGACCAATCACTTCACAACGTGATCTCGCGAGAGTTACTGTTATCTTGACATATTATTGAGAGTTACTGGAGGCTGTTATCTTGACATTGACGTAGAGCAAGCTAACGTATTCCGCCTGCCCACATCAGCAGGTGTGGTTTTCTCCGCTGTGTGTCCCCGCGGGTCTACAGTACTGACACGGGACCCAGTGGAGCGATCCCACAATCACACCCCACATCTGGTAACGTTTATACTCAAATTAGGCAGGTTGACTCGTACGTTCAGAGGTGATTGGGTATTGTCGACGGATGCTCCCTAGACGGAAACAGGGGTCTAGCAACAATCAGTTCTTCTGGTAATTGTGGGAAGCAATCAGCTGCAAAATGCACAACTTGGCTACTGGGAACGTGAACCAGGAATATTCATGAACAGGCTGCCTCGATGATCAATGCAATCGCAGGCAACAAAGGATGAACATCAACACACGTTCTAACTGCCAGTCTCTGTTACCAAGAGCAGTTCTGACTTTGATCCTAGCTTGTCCTGATGGCACAGTTAGTAAAGTGCTCAGGCCATGACTTACCCAGCCTTGGAAAAATTTGTATTGTGTTGACAAGTACAACGGTTCTGCAGGAATAGCATCTACATGCTATCTACAATATTGCTTGTTTCAGTAGTCAGTAGATTTCTTTTCATCTTCCATTATACAAACATGAAATCAAACAAATTACCGCTATGGTTTCAAATATAATGGAGGAGACTACCTGTCTCTGTACCTATTATGCAGACAATATACATGTACGTCAATATCACAGTACTAGATCAACGCATTGCTTTGTTCTTTCCGTTATTTTATGACACCTGTTATTTCTTGATAAGAATGGTAAACGGCCATATGATGATTCAATACTCATTAGGGACATACCAACTAGCATGAGCATAAAGAATAACTCTTGGGTGAACTATTGGAAATATTGTTTCAATATTGATGTTACATATAAAGTGGCAGTATATTTTCATTGAGAGGTTTTTCTATCATCACAAATGAACTTATCCAAAATATTGAAATCTGATACTCACATACACATGTAGTACCTGTCGCTGAAGTTGTTATGAAGCCCAATTGGTCACTCAAAGACTTCGGGTTCCGGGTTTCAACAAGGGTGTTCCTGTGAATCTTCTGTGAATCGTCGCTGAAACCCAAGTTACCTAATCAACTACACACTACCAAACAAACACACGAACAGTCCATCCAGCCTAACGCTATCACTGACCTGGTATCCATCTCTTTTTCCGCTCCGTTGTTGCCCTGACCACCGATGTTTTCCTCAGGACCACCACCTGGACAAAAAGAATAGACAGAACAACTCTTGTGCCGATTGACATTGACGACAAACAGTCCATCTGTGTACAAAGAATTCCTATCGACGCCCCCCCCCCTGAAACTCGAGTTTTCGCGCGGAACAAACGTCTTCAACTTTAGAAGAATAAGTTGGTCGACCAATGAGTTACTTAGTTGGGTTTCAAATAAGTATCTTGGACGGCTAACTCTTGGCAAATTATTCTGGCCGCCAATTTGTATTATTTTTCTAGCAACCCAAGAAGTCTAGTAGGCACTTCTTATTTCCCGTGCCTTTCTATTTAGCTGCGGTGGGGTCACCGGTCACGTTCAAACTGCAAATAATGTTCCCAACAACATACCATTATCATTACAGCTATTCTCACACAATAGGTTTAGGAGTGAAAAATAACCCTTCGCAATGCTTACGAAAAAAAAAAAATTAAGTTGAATTTCCCGCGGATTTCGATCAGCTGCGGTGAGGTTAAAGGTCACGTTCTAAAAATGGCGTCGTCAGCTGCAGACGACACACGTGAAACAACAAGGACAAGCAATGATACAGGCCGCTACTATTCATAGCAACACCGCAACCGGCTGCCATGGCTGATTCTGGAACAAAGAAGGAGGTAGACATCTACCGAGACACGCTTGTGCGCTACCTAGGTAAAACGTCGTCTGTATTTTGTTGTTGTACTGAAAGGGGGAGGGGGGCGTTTGCCGGGTCCTTTGCTCATGATATTAGAACGACCTTTCTGTGTTACTCAGATATTTCATCGTAATTACGTGAGTAACATGATCTGTCGCCCTCTGAATAACTTAATTTGTGCTGGGCTGTCATCCCGCTACATGCCCTTTTATTCATGTAAAACGCAATGATATTCACAACATACATGGTCAAAATCATATAGTTCAGCTAGGAAGATCTGTTCCAGTTGAGGCCTTCATCAAATGTACCGACATATACAATGTATCAATGCCATCTCATGAAACTATCACAGCAAAAAAACTCCAGGATAACTGATCTAGAGGATACGTAGTTGTATTAAAACAGTTCTTTACGTGGTAGTGCAGGGTGCCTGATCTATTTGCATCATGGGCTATTGCCTGTTCATATCAATGTTATTCTAATGTCTTGTATCATTTGTAGTCCAGGTAAATCTGTACAATGTAACATCAGTATCAGTAATGCAGTCCTACAAAACATTACGATAATTGTTATTATAATTATTGTAATTAGCCAGGCCCAGTATCATCACAATATAACGTGTGTATTCTAGAACGTCTGATCAAGGAGGTTAAATACAACCTTGTTGGTCTGATCTAGTATGTACTTTTGTTTAGTTGTCTTTGACATCCCTTAAGAGGTTAAACTGTTTCTCCCCATGTCAGGCTATGCTAATGAGGTTGGAGAGTCATTCCGTGCCCTGGTACCGGTGAGTGTGGTGTGGGGAAGCTATGCCGTTGCCACCGCCTACTGCACAGCAGACGCTATAGACAAGGGCAGGAAGATGGCGAAGGTGAGTGTGACTAATACAATTCATCATACATTTCCATTTTAACAATAAGACAAACATTTTTAAAGAGTATCTGAAGTTACACATGCAAAGGTATAGGTCATCAGGTGACAGGATGTTTGAGTATATATACAACCTGTCTGTACAAAAAAAAAGATGTGTTTGCAAAGCTGTAGTGTTACACCAAAGGACAGCTATACTGGCTGTACATTACAGATACAGATCTAGGCAGTTCCTGCTGAATTTGACAGAGGAAAAAAGTAGAAATAGTAAATAAGGAAGAATCATGGCTTTCATGGTAAAAATGACAGATTGTATTGACATACAAAGGCAAGAGCTTAAATGCCTTTTCTGAAATAATTCTTACTCCTATATATGTCCAAGGCAGTAAGATGAGCCATGCATTTATGAAACTTTGGTAAAAAAAGTCCTGTTTCCTCTCTTTGATAATTTCTTTTACCTCTCCAGAACCCTAAGGTGGACCCTGCTGAGAAGACTAAGAAGGTTACCCAGGCTGTAGTCGACACGTTTGTGTGGCAGGGTCTGGCGTCTGTGGCCATCCCAGGATTCACCATCAACAGAATATGTGCCTTGTCCCTGTTCCTGCTGAGGAAGTCCACCAACCTGCCCCTCCCTGTCAGGAAATGGGCTACAACCGCGGTTGGGCTGTCTGCTATACCCGTCATCATACATCCTATTGACAGGTGGGCTGGAGGCTTTTTACTATTCGTATAGTCAGGCTGGCATCAGGTACAATAGACAATGTTTATTTGAAGGTGTGAAAAAAAATTTAACGGCTCTAGCCCAAATGTTAGCCCACCAGATCCGTAGTGTGTTTTCGGCACACAGTAAGCTGGACAGATTAGCCTGAGGCTCAGTGGGCGTCACTCCACTGTACAGGTGGGGAAGTGGTGTTAAGTGGCTTTCCCAAGGGCACAACATTGGGCCATGGTGAGTATCAAACCTGGGACCTATTGGTTCCGAGTCCAACGCTGTAACCATTGTGCCACTGATGCAACGGTTAGAGCAATTTATTCCTTTGGAGTTGTGAAAGAAGATTATGATAACAGCATTCTTAATGGCAGTGTTCAGAACTACATGTAGCTTCCTGTGTAATATACATCAGGGTTAAAACTTGTAAAACAGGGTTGGATTTGGAAATCAATGTAAACAGCTGCCACCTGCCGTGTTCTTTTTTTATAGGACAATCCAGTATCCATTTTTTTCAGTTGTTGTCCTCTCCTACTCTTCAAAATATTCAAGTACATTAAAAAATGTGCTCTTTCCCCCTCCCCAGGTCAGTGGATTACTTACTGGATAACACCTTGCGGAAATGGCTGGACATTCAGCATCACCATGGTAACTGAACCATAGAGGACGGCATAGAAGATGAAGTCAGCCACAGCAATAATAAGTGGTAGCAGCACTTTGGCAGAACGTGCTGCGCCTGCGCGAAACCCACATTTTTCTTGTTGTTTTGTTGAATTTTTGGTCAACGTTGAATCAGAATTTTTCCTGTTACAGAGGATATTTTTTCTGACATAACATTTGGAAAATACAGATAGAGTGTTAACCTTATATGCTCGAATACGATCTAATATGAGACGTTCTGCCAATTGTGCTATGCACATTTCGCACAGGTGCAGTATGTTCTGCCGACATGCTAGAGGTGGTCATGGAAGTCAGAATGTCCGTAGGATTGTTTATTTTTACCAGGTCAGTCCATGTCTCCCTTAGTCATCTACCTCATATGCAATGTTGGTGAGAGAGTGAGTTAACACTTCTCATTTAATTTTATAGAAACATGTACAATTTTTTTTACAGATATTTGAATGTATATGTTGTTTATTGGTGCTATGATCTCAGGATCCTTTGTTTGCTTTGCTTACAACTATGTTGCATTTTGCAGTACGTACACATATCATAATGTTTTTGTGCTACTACTGGTTCACTAACATCTGATTGATTACAATGGAGAAAGTGTTAGTTTGACACAATGTTGCAGGAACATTTGCTACTAGTGTAACAAACACAACCACAAATTTTGTGCCCCTAGTATTTGGAAGGGGTCCATTATATAACTTTACTTCTTTCTAAACAAATGCTGCTGTGTAGATGTATATCAAGCACGTACACTTTCAGACAGAATTATCAAAATGTACATTACAAAGTGTGTGAATTGAAAGAAGGTGCTCAGAAAGAAAGCGCACATATATTTTACACTATATTTAGCATATAAATGTCTCCCGAGACACGCTTCTGAGTGTATATACACGCACTACACGCAGTAAAGTGTATATACACTTCATCCCTACATTTATCAATGCTTAAATGACTGTGACATTGCTGCTGCTGCCAGCTGTTAAGAGATAAAGTATAATCTACATGAAACAGCTGATGTATGGAGGTGCTTCAAAGGTTTCTACTGTGAGAGATGAATGACTGTTTTCAAGTTCAATGACTGTTTTCAATTTCACTGTGTACTAGGTTGGAAATATTACAAACCGAAGGTAGGGGAATGTTGGCAATGGAGAAAGTATGGGCTTGTTTTTCACCATTGGTTTTAGTAGTATCCTATTTCCATGGAGTTTAACCGTTATGTATTTTTGGTTACATAAAGGTGAAGAAGCCATTGTTCCTATGTTGTTCTTGCCATGTTTGAAGGAGAGTTACGCTCATGTATGAAATATGTTCTGTCTAATCACCTGTGACAGTGCCAAATGGAACTTTTTTTACAAATTCAATGTTTATTAAGTGGTAGTACACAGAGATGTCAAAAGTGTTAATGTTGATATACACCAGGTATACATTTGTAATGATCTGTGTTATATCATTGTATAGTATACAGTAATTGATTATTTTCCTATATGTATGTGTATTTTTGCATGACAAGACGCACAATGTAGAGTAAAGGTTTATATGAAAATTACATGGTAATGATTTCTCATGTTCGTATACGTGTAGCTTCCAGTTCCTAGATACATGTACATGTATTTTTAAATGTTAAATAATTTTGAATGTTCATACCCTGTTGGAAGATTCCTTTTATCCTTTACTTACCTTACCTTAGACCCTAGGTCCCCCTGTGCCTACAGGCACATTGGGCAGCAAGTTTCCATCTGGGCCGAGTAGCTGCTGCCTCCTCAGCCTCTTCCCAGGCAATGGGAAGAGGCCTCAGCCTCTTCCCAGGCAATTTTATCCTTTACATCTATCATTTAAAGATTCCTTTATAGTGAAATATACATATCAAAGATAGCGTTCTAATATTTTGCAGTCTTGCTGAGTCGTTATGCCTGCTTTTTGTCAGCCAGTCACAAGGGGGCTCTTCTAACAGGCCAACATTGTGCAGTATTTCAACTAGTCTCTACCAGACATCCTTCCATTTTGCTTCACCAGTTTATCTTAGACAAGCCTGTATGAAAGCACGAATAAGAAGGACCAGTGACCCATTTGTAGTAGCAACAACGGTTACTCAATGTTTATTCATGAACATCATCAACGGCATACATGTACACGTTTTTGTCAAACGACAACATGAACATTGGAGGTACCAAAACAAAATTGTATTAAAGTTTCCACAAAACTGGTGAGTCCGTGGCTCACACAGACTGATGAGTGTCTTTGAGGCATTAGCAACAGTTTGGCAGTTTGTAGTTATAGAACACATCAAGTATCTATAGGTGGAAATATTAATCTTTGCCGATGATACATCATAATAGACATACTAGTACAATGAACAGGTTCTGCAAGTGCTATAGTTCTTGGATAAACATTTCTGATTAATACGATATATATATAAGTTCTTGGATAAACATTTCTGATTAATACGATATATATATAGACATAACATTAGAATGTTTCCCTGTGAATAACGAACATCATACTAGGGTAATTTTTTTGTTCAAACAGTAACAGCAGCAATACGTGACAAAACTTTCACATACGAGATGTTTTTGTGCGCTCCTTGAAGCTAACTCCGATTACAGTATGAGGTGACTGTCTCAAAACTCCTGGAATGTAATACACTCTACTATGTTTTCATTTGTTCCATCAGAAACATGCCAGATCTGGGTTTCCATAAGGAATATCAATGCTTTAAGTATTAGCAGCCTATGAGTAGCTGTTTCCAGGTAGAAATGCCAACAATAGTGTAAGTGTGTAATGTGGCTTTAACTTTCAAAACTATTAAGCATGTCAGTCAAAATATCTCAGTACATAAACTTCTAAACAATAAATTCTTCTGTAGTGAGTAAATCTTTTCAGACACAAAAAAAACCCAGTCCTTTCCTAAAAACAACATCCAGACCTATCAAGTCGACACACATATTAACATATTACATTAAATTATCTGACTGTACAACAACTAAGTAAAATGACCTCAAAGGTAATCAACACCATTCTTTCCTTAAATTAACACCTGACTTACCTTCCAAACACTTTTTAAGTTGACACAGATTAACATAACATTTAAATCATCTGTAAAACAGTGAATTTAGACTAAAAAAAAGGACCTCAAAGGTCATCCAAACAGCTTCTTTCTCTAAACAGTTGACAACTGCATGTGCACTTAAACAATTGTTCAATGAATCTTGACCATTGTCTGTTTTTCTTCACTTTGTGGATATGCTACTCAATTCACAAATACTGACAGAGGCTTAATTTTGTTTACCTGCCATAGGATCCCTTGTAATGTCAGTCCAATTCTGCTGAAGGGTGTACCCATGTGTCCAAGACTGATATAATAAATATACTCACTCTGTACAGTATCATCCTCCTCTTAGACATACCTCTGATATATACATATCGTACCTTACTGTGAAAATATAATGTAGACTAAGTTGTCTTGCATATTGTGCACTTGGGTGAGAAATGCAGAAGGGAAAAAATATCTTTTTGCAGTAGAAAATATTGCATTTCGGAATGTTTCAGCTCCCATGGAATGTGTCAATGACACACTAGAAACAGCATCACAGGCTGTTTTTTAGATTTAAGTGTATAAAACAAGAAAATAAGTAAAGTAGGTAATTGTCCTTTAAAAGATACACAATATACAATTGCATAAAATCATTCTATTCCACAGCTCCACAGCCAAGCAACAAAAAATAAAAAGACTCTCTCGCATTTTAGAGGGGTCGTACATGTAATTCCTGTATCATGATTCCGGAATAAAAAAATTCGCTGAAAAACAACTGGACAGAGTTGACAAGCTGCTTGAAAATTCAATCAACACATGCTGGAATAAATTGTGACCAAAAAACTTTGTGTAGTCGCCTGCTTTGCAGCCATGTAAAAAAAAATATGCGCAACAGAAATTGTTTTTGGTGATTGTCTAATTAAGAATTAGGACTCATCAGCTATATAGTGGTCTCACATTTTCAGATTCACTGCTAGCCTCTACCAGGCTTGAGGGCGCAGCTGGAAATAGTAGAAATCGGCAAAATAGAGAGATAACATGCCGAGGGAGTTTAGCCATCCAGTTTACAGTTTGCCGTCCCACAAGATAGCGATATTCCACAGGCTTGTGGGCCGACAAACTGTAAACTGGATGGCTAAACTCCCTCGGCGTGTTATCTCTCTATTTTGCTGATTTCTACTATTTCCAGCCGTGCTCTCAAGCCTGGTAGAGGCTAATTCACTGCTACTTTCTCAGGCTACAAGGGTGTGAGATTGTCTGTGTCGTTAGCGAAAGCGGCATTGCTGTGGGCTGCGGAGATGACAAAAGGTCCCCGCTGGTGCTTGGGAGACTTTGTACTGGCGAAGGAGGTGTTTGGGACGGAGGAGTTGTCTTCCGCGACGTTCCCGTCTGGATCGTCCTCACTGAACTGGTCTTTGGCGAAGTTTAGAAACACCTGGGAGAAAAGATTAAACATTGTCATTGTCATTGTGTGCCACTTCCTGAGAGTTAACATCTGTGTCCATAATATCACCAGGGTCCATAATATCGCCACCTTTAGAAATAGTGTGCTTTAAGATATTTTTACTGCAACATACTGTTGGTATGCACTCCTGCACACCTCTAATGTACATCCCTAGGGTATGTTGCAGTAAAAATATCTTTAAGCACACTTTTTCTCAAGGTGGCGATATTATGGACCTTGGTGATATTATGGACACGGATGTTACATGTATTGCAAAGCTATTAGGCCACACCAATTTAATCTGTTGTTTCTCAGATTTTTTTGGTAAAAAAACGCCTGAAGGATCAAAAACAACCCATTGGCAACTGAATCCAGACAAATTGAACTGAACTGCAACAAAAAATTCAGATGTTACACAATTGAGCAAACATTTTTCTTGTTAGATAACTCCGCAAGGGCTTCACTATTATAGTAAACTAAAGATTCGTATGGGTCTATGGTAATATTCTGAAACAATTCCAGAGGAACGTTGGGCAGTAACTTGAGGTGAACTCGAGGTGAACCTGACACTGATTGACTGAACTGCAACAAATTTGGATGTTAGACAACTCGATTTTTCTTGTTAAATCAAACTCCAAAGCTTCACAAAACTCAAGGCTCACATTAGTTTATCATTCCGTGTTATAATATAAGCTTCTGAAACAAAGTTCCCAGAGGAACATTGAGCAGTATGAACCTAACCCTGAACTGCAACAAATTTGGATGTTAGACAACTCGATTTTTCTTCTTAAATCAAAAACTCCAAAGCTTCACAAAACTCAAGACTCACATACAATATCATTCTGTGTTATAAGCTTCTGAAACAAATTTCCCAGAGAAACAGCATAAGAAGAGCCTGACGCAACAAATTTGGATGCTAGACAAGCAAACATTTTTCTTGCTAAGTAACTCCAAAACTTCACAAAGCTTAAGATTCATAGAGTCTGTGAATGATGTGATATTTTGAAACAATCCCAGAGGAACATTGGGCAGTAAGAAGAACCTGATGCTAAACTGCAACAAGTTGTTATACAAGAAGATACTGGTAGACAATATTTCCTTGTTAAATGAATAACGTAAAAACTTCACAAAGCTAAAGATTTATGACTCTGTGATGTCACATTTTGGAACAAATTTCCCTGGGGAACATTGGGAAGTTGAACCTAACCCTGAACTGCAACAAAATTGGATGCTTGACAAGCAAAGATTTTTCTTGTTAAATAACTCGTGATGTTATATTTTGAAACAATCCCAGAGGAACATTCTGGGCTGTATGATGCTGAACTGACTACCTCTGACACTGAGACCTGAGGTGCCGTTTCTTGTTAAGTAATTCCTAAACTTCACAAAGCTTTTTAAACAAACCCAGAGGAACATTCTGGGCTGTATGATGAACCTAACGATGCTGAACAGTCTACCTCTGACAGAGACCTGAGCTGCCGTTATACACGTCTAGCCTAAAACTCGGTTTCGTCCTGATCGTGTTCGGGCTCATACAGCCTTCGGTGCAGGGACTGGACACTGTCGGGGGCCAGCAGGGTCTGTTTGTGAGCTAGGGAGTGGGCACTGAGGGCCAGGGAGTGGGCACTGCACATGGCGAGAGTGGTGAGGGAGGGAGTCGTACCAGACATGACCCGTGCGAGCCCCACCTCCTCTTCACCCTCCTGGTGCAGGGCGAAACGGAGAAACACCTGGGAGGGGGGAGAGACAAAAGAGAGAAGAGGTGGTGAAGTAGAGGGGAGGGGTGACAGAGGAGAGAACAGCCAGTGTACAGTGCAATTGAGTGTCAGCTCAGTAACAGAGGGATTCTTGGAGTAACCAGTATAAAAAAAGGGATCAAGGAGTAAAAGATCTAGAGGGGAGATCAGTCAGTGATACTGAGAGAGGGATAACAGATAAGAGAACAGCCAATGTCATTGTGAAATCAAGAGAAAAAAAAAGGTCATCCACCAAATGCCATGTGATGGGCATTGGTGTGGGGACCTGTTAGCCAGAGTATTGGTTGCAATAGAGTCTAACCAATTTGTGTGTGGACAGTCATGTTTCCTTGCTATTCTGTTTTGTTCTGATGATTTGTACTTGTCCATTGAAACCAATTGACAGGAGTACAAAATAAAACCACTGATGGCACTAATTTCTTTAGTAAAAGGAAAAGACATAAAATTATCGATTGCAAACTTGTTGTCTTTAAGTGTTCATGTTTGAGGAAAAGGAAATTGAAAATTAATGCCTGAGATCTTTTTCCGATGCCCATGCAGGCAGACCT